AACTTTTTTCTTTATTAATTTCTTCAGATTGCCCAATCTGACTTTCACCAAAAATTTTCTGTCAACTCTTCCACTGTAAACCCGAAACAACTAAAGGCCTCTCAATGGTCAATGCACCTGACAAGTAGATATGGACAAACATCTGGAACTTCAAAACAATACAGATGCCGAGGCCTCCATTCCACTTTAATTGACTCCAACTATTGAGTGCTAGGGACTGGAAAAATGTCCATTTGATCCAAAGTCTAACATGATTCCCTGGTATTAAGAGTTTCTTTTTCAACCCTGAACCAAGGTGTGATTCTATAGGTCTACTTTAAGAGTTTAGGCCAATATTTTGGAGCTGCAATTGAAGTGAAAGCATTTGAAAACTAATCACAGTTCATTCACATGTGCTTTCTAAATTCATATTGTTTTAAATTAAGGTTCTGAGAAATCGCCAAGCTTTTAGGAAGAACAGAGAATGATCATCACACCCAGAGACTGCCATCTAAACTGCTGACATCTTGCCCATTTTTCTCCAGGCACCGTTGTATGGTGCACTAATCTTCTTTAATGTTTAAGATTCTACTGCGGCAGTAAAAGGCTGAGGCTGAGAAGCTACCAGCATGCGACATTCAGACTTCTGAAAGTTGCTTAGCAAACACAACTTCTGGTGGTGTATTTCCTGAGGGATACAAATACAGCTGTCCTTAAGTATATTGTCAAAAGCCACGTTAGACATGCTATGATTGCATTTTCCAATCCCTAGCAAACAATAGCTGCAAATTTGAATGGTATTTAGAGATGAGTGGAAAGCTGAAAGGCAAGGTAAGAAAACAGGCTTTGTCGACCTGAATATTTTGCCAGAGGCAACTCTGAATTCAGAGGATTACATAAGTTGTTACAATATCCTTTGCTTATAACTCCATTTGTATTATCAACCCTGGGCGGGGAAGGTTTGGGGCAATTCTTTTCATTTCTCTGATCTTCAATTTTTTTCATCTTCAGAAAAAGAGAGAAAGAGACAGCCAGACAATTTTTTTTTTGCTATACTAAAAAAGCATCTCTGATCTCATCAAATTTACAATTCCTTGTTTCATGAGATCTATATTGCAAAAGAGAAAATGAGGTGCAGAGGGGTTTAAATGACAACTCCAAGTTCACACCGCTCCATTATGACAGAATTAAGCTTCAAATCCAGGCCTCCTGGTTCTTAGCTTAGTAAAAAGTCCAAAATGAAGACAGACGGAAGGTTAAGAGGAATTTAATTAGCAATAAAACAAAACAGCAGCAAGAGAGAGCTGGTAAGCAAGTAAGAATCTAAATACTAGACCTCGTCCATCACGGCAAGAGCATGGTCACCACATTCAATGCAACCAGCCAGCTGAGATTTCTTTTATATAAATTCCTTAATTTTATTAAAATCATTGGTAATATTATAGGTATAAACAGGTTCGAGGTTGCAGAAAATTGTGATCAAGTAATTGTTTTGTAAAATAACATCCATGAGGAAAACAGATCCACCTATACTGTTTCCCAAAATGGATTCCTTCATAGGGTCATGGTCTCATCAGCTTGGAAAACACTAGATGCTCTCTTCCCAAAGAGTCTGATGCATATTGACAGGATCCTAACAGGACAAGGCTCTGCAGTACCCTGCAGTTGAAGCACACACACACCAAACCAGGTGGTTTTATTTACTTGGAATCTCAAACTGATTTGTCCACAGAACTTTTTTCTTTTTCTTTTTTTTTCTTTTTGTGGATCACCCATAACCGTTCTACACATACTGACATTCTTTAGATTACAAATCAGAAAATAGAGAAAAAAGTAACTCCCCACTTGGAAATCCATTATATATGATACTTAAAAACTGCTGTTTGTTGGAGGTTCAGATTTACCTGGGTATGCTGGTTTTTGTTGTTGTTTTGCTAAATCGACTAACTTACTAACAGGACCAATGCCAAGTGAACCTCAATATTTCTGGAAATGGCATTAAAGCAGCAGGACCTGTCGTATCTCAGCAGTGGTGGCAACTTCCATGGCTGGTGCTGGTCCTCCAGGATCCAGAATCTGGTCATGAATTCCTAGGTGATAATCCCCTCTCCAAGAACTGGGTCCCTCTTTCTTGTAGGAGCTGGGAGTCAGTTGTGAATTCAAATCCTGTCTCCAACCTTTTCCAGATCAAGATAGTTATTCTCTCCACAGCTCTGTTGTGGTTTCAGAGGTCTCAGTCCACAGACTTGAGGTGAGGCTGAACATCATGGCAGGAGAGTGTGGCTGAGGGATGCAGCTCACATGGTGATCAGGAAGCAACACCAAGATTTTCCTAAAAATTACAAAAAAAAATGTGAGAACTCTCCAACTCAATATGAGCTAGACAGGGATTAAGGAGATAGAAAAATGACCAAAAGGCCCCTGTATGGTTCAGTGTTCCATACTGTTCCATCAACCGCCAGCAATAAGCCGTGGGGCTGTGTACAGCCCAGATTGCTTAAGGCCAGTTGTCAATTAGTCACAGGCCAAAAATTGTACCTTCTTGGAAGTTGATGAGTTTTTCCCCAACTTATCAATAAACCTCTTTTGTCCCCTCATCTATGAGATAAATTGGATCACTAAGTTTCCTTCCTGGAAACTCAAAAACTCAGTAGCCTTCATTTTTAAAATTTTATTTTTATTAGTGCATTTCAATTATACAGACTATGAGTTTCAATGCGCCTTCATCTTCTACGCATCTTCCTTGAATCTGCAGGAAGATGCCATATAATGACTAAACTACCTTCATAACAGCCTAACCTACGAGCTGTAGGCAAATTGAACTTTTAGTGTTTAATACTTCAATGTAATAACATTTGAGAATCTCTTATTTGCCTTTTGAAGAGCTTGACCCTAAAACACTATCATTGTCACAGTAGTAAGTTGCCATTTTAAACCAGCATGGGTAAGAAGATTAATTTATTTTCAGTACATACCACACAACTTGTGTTTACTAAACACTCAGAAGTAGGTTTCTACTCAGGGAAGAAACAAAACAAAACAAAACAAAATAGCCCTCTCCCGCTCATCAGATAGTGGTTTAAGAAAGCAAACTGCAGGTTTTCCCCAAAGCAAAGATCCTGCTTCCACTTCTGCTGGGCGTGCAGCCTTTGGCCAGGACTGATAGGTCACTGAGTTTGAAAACATTTTTGGACACACACACTGTTCCGCTTTGGAACCGGCAGAAACTGGAGGTTAGTGCCTCCAAAAGCCCTAATGTTTGGGACAGCTTGGACCAGACCAAATACAGCCAGTGGGCTGAGGACTGCTTCCTGGAAGCCAGGTGTTTGCTCTCCCTGTCGCTGTCACCGTCAGGCTCACTCTCTAAGTGTTTTGCGCTAATTGGAAAACACCTCGAGTCCACTGAGGCCAAAATGCCTTCACATGGCAACGAATCCATGAAACAGGATCCCACATTCCTTTGTAAATTCAGTTCCTTTTTTTTTTTCTTTTCACCTTTTCCAGGGACTGTTATTCTAACCATAGCAGTGAATAAAGGACTAAGAGGTACAGGTGAGCTTCTGTTGATCTTGGGGTGTAGATCAGTGGTAGAGTGCTTGCCTGGTGTGGACAAGGACTTGGGTTCCATCACTGGCATGTTTAAAAAAAAGCAAATTTTGACAAGTTATGTGGGGATGAAGCACCGATTCTCAGCACCACAGACTCTTGTTTGCTCCTGGACCTGCAGATCTTGGGGTGATGCCAGGTATTATCATGTGGGGCTTTGGGTGTGAGCCTGGGGTAAGACCAACTCCCTGTGGGTGAAAGGATGAATTTCCCCAGCATTCTGTGAGAGAAGAGGTTGGTCTTCAGGAGCAGCCAGAAGTGGGAGCTCAGCACAGGCAAACTCTTCTTCTCAGGCCTCCCCAGCCCTCAAACTAGAATTAAGACAATTTTTGTGCCCCTTTCCTCCAGGGGAGGGAATACAATGCCTCCATTGTGGCAGCAGCCCAGGAGCAAGGTGGCAAGCACATCCCAAGAGCCAGAGGATGCTGCAGCCTGTTGTTCCTCCCTGAGTTTTGTCCAGGCTTGCTTTCACAGCCTCAGCCCAGGTGTGATGGTACCCTGAGAAATTCAAGGTAGAGTCGTGTGGCCCCACCTGGTTCAGATGAATGATGGGGAGCTTCAACCTCAAGTGGGAGAGCTCCAAAGGGATGGTGGACATTGGGAAGCGCAGGACAGGACTCTGGCTGCCAGCCCTGGTGCCTGTCCCTCTGTTGTCCCCCTGGGAGGCAGTTTGCAGAGATGCATGGGATTCTCACGTCAGACTTGATGGGGTTATGCCTCCATCTTTTCTCCTATTGATTATTTTTTGGGTCAGGTACACAGCCTCTCTAGGCCTCGATTTGATTGTGAAAGATGGATAGAAATAGTAACAGGGTAATTGAGAGGATTCAATGAGTATTATGGTTTGGATAAGATCCATCCCCTAAAAACTCATGTATTGAAGCCCTGATCCCCAATGCAGTAATTTGGGGATGTAATTGGATCATGAGAACTTTGACCTCATTGGTAGATCAATGTACTGAATTCATATTTGATATCAGTATTGGGAGGTGTGGAAACAGTAGGAGGTGGGACCTACCTGGAGGAAGTGGGTTGGTTACTGGGGTGGGGGGGTGACAGGAAGGACATTCTTTATCCCCAGCCCCATCTTCCCTTTCTTTCTCTGCTTCCTGGCTAATGTGAGGAGCTGCTTTTCTTCATTAAGTCCTTCCACATCACGCTTTGTCTTGCCTCAGGCCCAAATTAATGGAGACAGCCAGCCATGAACTGAAACCTCTGAAAGGGTGAGCCAAAATAAATCATTCCTCCTCTAAGTTGTTTTTCTTGGGTATTTTGTCCTAGTTATGAAAATCTGGCTAACACAATGAATTTATTTGGTAACATGCAGATTCTATGAAGGTATCATCAGCTTTTATCTTAGGATCAAGGATGCTGGTAAATTCCTTTATAACAGTTTTTTTTTTTTTTTTTTTTAGGAACACTGTCACCTTCCCCACGTAGCAGCTGCATTAGGCCAGGCCAAAGAAGAGGAACAATGGTGTGTTAGTCAGTTTTCTACTACTGTAGCAAATAACTGAGATAAACGATTTATATGGGAAAAGGTCTATTTTGGCTCACATCTTCAGAGGTTCAGTTCATGGTTGGTTGTTGCTTGGGGTCTGGGGGGCACAGGGTATGACGACGGCAGGCACAGGTGGCCAAGGAGGGCTGTTCATCTCATGGCATCTGGGAATGAGAGAGACAGGAAGGGACTGAGGTTCCAATATCCCCCCAAGACTCTCAATGCCTTAGCTTTTTCTACTAAGCCCCACTTTCTAAGTGTTCCACCACCTCCCAAGAGTGCCACAGGCTGGGGCCAAGCCTTTGACACACGGACCTTTGAGGGACAGTTAAGATCCAAACTCTAGCAGATGGGAAGATCACAGAAAAGGAAGATGCAGCCACCACATAGCAATGGATATGAAATGGATAAAAAGGACACCCTCAACTGCCACCACCAGGGGAAATGTCATGACGTTCTTGTTTTGCCCAGTGGGAAAAAGAGTGGGGGTGGGCTTTCAGCTGGACCACAGTCTTCCCACTAATAGAGGAAAGACTGTGCCACAAAAGAAACCCAGAGGGTCAAGCACAAAGCCCCGAGGTTAGCAGGTCAAGCCTGTGGGCGCTGAGAATCGATCCCTACATTAACAACAATTAATAAGTAGCAGGAAATGTTGCGCAGGATATAGGAGGGACACACCTCGTTTTAGTAATATAAAGAATTTTAAGATCCATGAGGCATCCCAGCAAAGGCTGGCTTGGGGAAAGTACCCAGAGGGTGGGTGTAGCGGGTTGAATTATGGCTCTCCAAATATGTCCTGGACCTGCCTGAGGTACCTGTGGAGGTGACCTTACTTGGAAAAATGATATAATTCAGTTAATGGTGCAGACATAAGATTGTTCTGAATTGACCAACTGGGTGAGTTCTAAATCCAAAGACGAGTGTTCTTATAAGAAGAAAAGACACAGAGAGAAGGCCACGTGACGAAATTGGACCGACTGCTGTTATGTATCCACAAGCCAAAAAATGCCAAAGATTGCCAGCGCCCATTAGAAGTTAACAGAAGCACGGAATAGATTTTCTCCCTCAGGACTTCCAGAAGGAACCAATTCTGTGTACACATTGATTTAGGGCTTCCAGCCTCCAGAACTAGGAAAGAATCCATTTCTTCTGTTTTGTGCACCTCCAGGAATCTAATACCAGAGGAAACCACAGACCTTATATGTCATAAGAAGAGCCCAGCTGACAGCAAAACAGATGGCCCTTATGACTGAGGGTTTTGAGCAGTTCATTTGTGAGTCGTCACACCACATGTCCTTTAGAATCTGTGCTGAAGGTCACTGGTCACTGCTGTGAATATAGAAAGTTCCCAATCCATACGGAGAGTCGGTCTATTTGAATCCATTCCTATGATACCATCAAGGTGTCCTGAGTTAAAGAACCTTCTGGATACTGTTGCATGTAGCTGTATGGATGGCTGGATATACTATTAGGGTTTAGATCTGGAATGTTCCCCCCAAAAGCTAATTTGTTGCAAGCACTATCCCCAGTGCAGCATGATCAGAGATGGGGCTTTTAGGAAATGATCAGGGCTCTAACCTCATTAGTGGGTTAATCTATTTGGTGGATTAATAATTTGAATGGACTACCAGTGGTAAAGGTAGGCAGGTGGGGTGTAGATGGAGGGTATGTGTCACTTCAGACCATATCTTGTCCCTGGCTCCTCTCTGGCTCTCGCCTTCTCTCTCTCTCTCTCAATTTCCCAGGAGCCATGAGCTGAGCGGCTTTCCCCTGCGTTCCCTTCCCTCACGACGTTCTGTCTAACCTCAGGCCCAAAGCCATGGAGTTGGTCAACCATGGACTGAACCTATGAAATCATAAGCCCAAAATAAACTCTTCCTCCTCTAAATGATTCTTATCCCACATTTTAGTCACGGTGACAAAAAACGAACATGCGTCTCTTACTGACCCTGTGGGCACTGTGGGCAGGCCAGGCAAGGGGCCCACAGGACAGGCTGCTGCCTAGTGAGTGGATTGTTCCTGGCTGACTCCCTCCTACTTCCGGAAGCCCCTATTAATGGAAAGTTCCTGTATAAATGGGTCTCCAGGCATGACTTGCAGATTCTGTGTTGTGAAAAGGGAGTGCCTTGCCCTTGGGGCCATATTGTCCTTCATCATCCTGCTCTAAGCAAACACCCATCCCTCCTACCTAGCTACCTCACACCTGAGGAACTGCTTACCTCCACATTTGGAGAAGGCTGGGAAGTCGGCCATTATTAGGAGAGGGCCCCTGCAGTGAAGTTGGGGGGACCCCTGGATGGCAGGAATCCTGCTCTGTGCTTTGCTGTTCCCCGGGGGCTCACCAGATGCCCAGCCCTCAGTGAAGGTTCAGTGTGTACTTGTTGACCTCTGTCCTTGTCTCCACCTGCTAATTTCTGCAGGGTCCAACTCTAACTAACAAGGGGGTGGGGGTGTCCCTGCAGTGACATTAGAGCTTACACAGAACAGCTCTGGGACAAAGGCTAGAGCGAGGACTCGGGAGGCTTAAAACACTGGGTCCACATCTGCTGGAGCTGCCCTTTCCTCCCCAACCTGCTAAACCTCTGAAGGAGAATGACCCAGTCTTTGCAGGGCACAGCTGGCCACAGAGAGGAAAGGCCGAACACCCAGCCCAGGTCCTCTGTCCATTCAGATGGCCCACACTGCTCCTGCAGGCTGGCCGGAGGTCCAGGCTCCCGCTGTGAAGGATGGCCTGTGGCAACCAAGGATGACATTCCAAGCTACTTCATTTTCAAAAGGGCAAAAACAAATCAACAGCCCTTCCTTTTCATCTGGCAGGGCATTTTCTTCTCGCAGCGGCTCTTAGCAACGGCTCCATCCCTCCTGATTAGTGCTGCCATTAGAGAAATGATTCCTCAGCACAGTGAGTCATCTCAGCGCCTGACAACTGCAACCATTCCAGATGGCGAGAACATCAGTGACCATAATGGCCCTTCCTGTCAGTGCTCGCTGCAGATTGTTCTCGGAACTGCAGGGGACAGACGCGGGCTTGTAGCCTGTAGAGATTTACAAAGTAATGCCACTCACTCAGCAAGCCACACGTGGAAATCAGTCGCCCTTCTTTACAGTCACAACTGGCACGAGAAGCAGAGAAGGAAAAGATGAGTGCCACCCAGAGAATCGCCAAGTAAGAAATAAGAACCAGGTGCTCAGACTGTCCCCAGGACCCAGCTGTCAGCGGGAAAGCCCTTGGTGGGCTTCTTTCATGTTGTCACCTAGAGAGACTTGCAGGCCTCAGAGGAACAGAGAGGTGTCCAATACGTATGTCATTCAGTACAAAAAAAAAAGATAACTTCAGCTGCTCACGGAGATGCTGAAAAGGTCTGGTATCTTTGCATCTGGGATTTTCCAGGAAAGCTCTGCTAAGTTAAAGGAAAACAAAGCCAATTTGTAGGATTTGTGGAAATGACTTCAAGGAGCTGGTTAAATGAAGCCGTTTTCCCCCACCTGAGTATCTGGCTCCTTCAGAGGGCTGTACTAAGCACAGCTGAAATTTATTTTGCCAATTTTGAGGCTTACATTATAAAAAATAATCCTGGGTGAAATCTCATCATCATTATGGCAAAGTGAGGCGCTCATTTCACAATGGTTGTTTAAAGTTAATAGTAAATCAGCTGAGCAGCCACTAAAAAGATGATGTATTGGCTTAATTCCGTGTTGTTACAGAGAAACCATCTGAGTTAATACATACATGGAGATGTTGGCAGACGGCTCCTTTTGGTGATAATATTCATTTTTATGAATGGCTCATTTATTTTTTATATGTTTCTCTTTACCCCTGCCCTTATTTCTCGCCTCTGGGTCCCAGGACTCGAAGGTGGAAAGCGAAGGATAGTTTTGCATTTTAATGGAAAGAAGGAAAAGCCTGCTGCTTTGGACCTCACCAAAGAGGTGAAAAATAGAGAAGAAGGAACAACTCAGGGGCAGAAATGAGTTTCAGAGGTGCCAGTCAGCTGGTTGTTTACTGAGTCTACACCTTGTGTGTTGTCCTAGGTGCCTTTGTTTCAAATCCAGGCAGTGAATTATCTGCTCACCTCCTGCAGGAGGAAACTTTGTATGCACGGGACGTTTTATCCCTTTCATCTAATCAGCTGAAGAATAAGAGCATATTCACTTGAGGGAAAAAAAATTACATTTCAGGAAAATATGCCAGACTTTGTGTGTGTGTGTGTGTGTGTGTGTGTGTGATGGAATCCAGGGCTTTAAGTGTGCTGTGACACTCTATCTCTGTGCTACACCCCAGCGCTATAGAGCTTGTCAAAGGGTGGAGAGAAGCTGGCCACGGCTGGATTGCTCATTCCTCTTGCCATGGTATGTATGTTTGCAGTCAGGTCCCAAAGGGTGTGACTGCCACTGCTAAGCAGTCCCTGTATTTGCTCTGCCCACCGGGCCAAGGTTTCTGGCTGTCTACTGAGCAGTATGGCCGGGAGCCCACTCTTGTTCATCCCCAGTGCCCTTATTTCCCCAGGGCTATCTCCCCCTCCACACAGCCTTCCTTGAGAAGAAGATACAAATGGGATAACTGGGAAAGGGATCATGGAGATCTTTGGGGTCACAGGCCACAGCTGAGGGAGGTCTGAGGCCCTTCAAACATATGAGAGGCAGAGGAGCAAAGTGGAAGGAATTTCAGCTCCAGAGGTGAACTGCCCTGCCTGGGACCCTGGGTCTTCTGCCTGCTGGATGTGCCGCCCTCCGTGGGCTACTTAACTTCTTTACGCTTCAGTTTTGGGGAAATGAGTCCAATAAAAATACCCGCCTCGTCGTCTGATCATGAGGTTGAAATGGGTGCGTGTGGGGAAATCACCTAGAGCATTGCCTGGTGCTATGTGGTCTGAATGTTTGTTTCTCCCTAAAGTTCATGTTGAAACCTAATCACCAAGATGGTGGTATTGGAGGACAGCGGGGCCTCAGGAGGGCCCCTCCCTTAGGAATGGGAT